CCCCAGCTGTTAAACTTCTGTGCCCCCACCTCCCAGCTGTTAAACCTCTGTCCCCCCACCACCCAGCTGTTAAACCTCTGTGCCCCCACCTCCCAGCTCCTAAACCTCTGTGCCCCACCTCCCAGCTGTTAAACCTTTGTGCCCCCACCTCCCAGCTGTTAAGCCTCTCTGTGCCCCACCTCCCAGCTGTTAAACCTTTGTGCCCCACCTCTCACCAAAAATACAGTGTTGCAATGGTGTGTCTGGCCCGGGACTGATGTCACAGCCTAGTATCTTTTCTTTGTGGATGAGGCCTATACTGCCTTGACTTCTGGAAGTTTCTGCATCAGAACTTACATACTTCTTTGATGCATTTTGGTGTTCTGCATGACTCGCTCACTCTGTACTGCCTCTGAAGAAATCTTTCTTTTCTGTGCAGGATAGAGCTGGCAGACAGGGTAGAAAATTCTTTGGAACGTAGCCTTGCTCCGTGATTGCCTCCCTTTAGTTCAGCAGTAACAGTGCTGTACCCCTTACTCCATGAGGGTCTGCAATGTGGAAGAGGGTGGGGAGATGCAGTGCATGTGCCGCACTAACCCATAACAAACCTGGAAGTCTCTTCTCTGCGTGGGATGCCCGGTGGCCTGCTCCTGCTTCACCTAGGAACCTGGGGGTTGGAATGGACCTGCATTCTTCATCTGCTCTGCCTTTTTTAAAATTATATAGATGTACTCCCCAGTTCAATCAGGACAGTCACAAAGACAGCGCAGGGAGTATTTTCTTTTGCATCTTAGTGCAAACCTGGAAAAAACCCACAAATTGTTTCAGGATGCAGTGCTCTGCTTTTTTAAGCCTTCTGTCTGCACCGGGCACTGTGGTCTTGCAGTGATGCCCACCAGCATCACTACTTCCCAGTGTGCTACTGTGGTGGCCTCCTGCCTAGTTTTCTCAAGCTCCCCCCAGGCCTTTGTCTACTGCCCTAGTCAGGCCCACCTCCTTGGTCGCACAATGCCCTTTTCCTGTGTAGCCTCAGCCCCCCATCCATCCCACTTCCCAGTACCACATGGATGGTAAATTAGCACACTTCTCACCCAGATCTGCCGACCTCCTGAGGTCCCTGTGTAAGGATCTTCTTTGCTGGCCCCACCCATCATAGGCTCTCACTAAGTACACTTTAAAACTGAGGCAATCACTGTGACTGTAACAGTTACTACAAAAATGAGGGCAGGAGGCAGGCGTGCTGGTTCATACCTTTAATCCCAGCACTCGGAGGCAGAGGCAAGAGGCTTTCTGTGAAATCAAGGAAGACTGGTCTACAACTGGGGCTACGGGACACCCTGGCTCAAAAGGACAAAAAGAAAACAGGAAAAAAGAATGAGGGCATGGCACACAGTTCTTAGAGGCATAGATGTTTCTAGTCACTTTCAAGGGCTGCTCTTGGGATTTGGAAGTCCCTAAAAGGAAGATTCTACCATATCCCTTAACCCCTGAAGTGGTCTCAGCCAGGTGTGGTGCCTGCAATTCCAGCATTTGGGAGGAGGAGGCAGGAAGATTAGAGCTTCAGGGTCACCCTAGACTATGTAGGGAATTCAATAGCCTGGACTACTTGAGACTCTGCCTTAAAAAAAAATAATTAATTAATTATAGAGCAAGGTAATTTCTGCAAAGCCATGGTCATGGGACAGCTTTGCTCTTCATGTACGTTCAGTCTCCCATCCACTCGAAGAGTTCCTTCAGACATGGGCATTTGTGTGTGAGCTTCAGAGATGATGATGGGGAGTCAAAGTGTGTGTGTGTGTGTGTGTGTGTGTGTATGCTGAAGCGTTGGGGATGGAACCCTGGTCCTCATACATACTCAGCAAGTACTCTGCCAATGAACTACACCCTGGCCCTGGAATCAGGGAATGTCACGCTCTGTGTTTGACCAGCAATCCTGTTACCTCCTTAAAAGTTTGATCCTAGCAGTTTTCTTTATGTGAGGGTTGAACGTTAGCTTAATCCCAACACTTAAACCAAGCCTTCAAAGTCATAATTGCTTCTCCATTTATGTTAGAATGGCTTCTACACAGAAGACTCTTGTTAGCTTGTGTGGACAAATTGATTGATTTGTTCTTCCCTTGGAGTACACAGACATACACATTAAAAAAATGTCTCCCATACGGGGCCTACTGATGCGTACCTTTAATCTGAGCACTCAGGAGCAGAGTCAGGCAGATCTCTGTCAGTCTGAGGCCATCCTAGTCTACATAGTGAATTTCATGCCAGCCAGGGCTACATAGAGAGATCCTATCTCAAAAATAAACAAGGGGCTGGACAGATGGCTCAGCAGTTAAGAGCACTGGCTATCCTTGCAGAGGAATACGTTCAGTTTCCAGCACCCACCTCCCTAACTCCTGTTCCAGGGGATCCAACATCCTCTTCTGACCTCTGTAGGCAGTGTATGACAGGGTGCACCTACCTACATGCAGGCAATATACTCATACACATAAAATAAAAATAACAAAGTATTTTTAAAATAAGTAAATAAATGGCTGCCATTTACTGAGTATTAACTGAGTGTGCCAGGCATCACGCAAAGCACATTCCACAGTCTTCAGTTTAATCTTCACAGCTCTTCTGTGAGGTGTGGGTACTGTTATTGTCCCATTTATAGACAAGAATTGGGAAGGAATCTATGCAGGGTCGCACAGCTGCTGAGTAGTGAGGCTGGAGTTTGAACTCAGGCTGACTGCTCTGGAGTGAACGCACTTGCCCACCTAGCAGCACCACCATGCCCTTTAAAGTGTTCCTGTCATGCTTGTGGTGTTTGGCATAAAACTGTGACTCTACCTCCCCTGTCCCTGCTGGTTATCACTGACAACCTATAGCTTGTGTGCTTTTTTAGACCTACTTCAATTGTTTAGTGTTTAAGATATAAATAAAAGGCATGCCAGGCCAAGTCAAGTTCAGTCTAGCCTAACAGTTATGGCAAAACTATATGATCCACTGTTGTGTACTTTCCTTTAAAAAAATTATATTCGTTTTCATTTTAAAGCTGCCTTTTTAATATTTAATCACAGAAACCCTAGTCTTTGCCATGTTTGGAAAAGTAACACCAGGTCTCAGGCTCCTCTGCCCTGGGACCTGTTCTTTGCCCTGCTTTGTGGTTCTGCTGGGCACTGACCCATCAAACTGCAGTTGCCCTACCTTCTGGGAAGGTCTGGTCAATCCAAGGCCCTGCTGGAAGGCAGGGGTGGGGCTTAGGAAGAGTCCCTGTGTGCCACCTCCCCACCCCCAGGCTCCAGGCTCTGCTTCTGCTGCTGCTCCAGGGAGACAGGCTCAGCTGCCACCTCCAGCTTGGAGCAGGTGGACCCAGCCCTAGGGTTCAGGGCTCTATTGACTGTCTTCCTTTGTTGCCCAACCTCAAGGTGATGACAGTTTCCTGTTCCTCCTATGAAGAGAACATGTAACTGCCCATGGCCTTGCCACTACCTGGGTTCCCAGTTCTGGATGAATTTTCTTTGATACACACAAATAAGACTTTCCATTTTCCAGAAAGAACTCAGATGGTTACTACGGTGTATTCTCATGTAATTGTAATAGTTACAGTTTCTTTTAGAGATATAGATGGTAGATGTCAGGTCCACTATACTCCTCACTCTCACTGGCGGTGATGTGAGGGGGAAGCCCTGGCAGGAGGTGTCTAGTGCCGTGTTCTTCTAGCTTGGTCACTAGAGGAGCTTAGTATTGTTCCGATCAGAGTTGTCCCTTTCTGTAAAGTTGCAACCTGGGTCACTTCCTGTAGCATAGTCTCCCAGCTCTGCTTCCCATAGAACCAGCCCAGTTCCAGCTTGAGTTCCAGTTTCTGTGAGTCCTGCCAATTGCTGCCTGCATGCAGTGCAGCAGCCCCAGGCTCCAGCCTTGTATGCCTCCTGTGTGTGCTGTTGGTCCAACAGATTGTGGAACAAGCAGGCCATTTCCATCTTCACCATGGGAAAAAGCACAGAAAACCCCTTTCTGATTTTGGCTCAGCAGTTGGTCTTCATTTGGGCCTCCAGAAAAAAGCATTTGAGCAAAAGAGTAAAGCCAGCTTCTGAGCTGTTCCCTGGGTATGAGTTTCACTGTGTTTCAGAGGTGGTACTTTAGCAGTTGGAGAGATGGCTTAGTGGTAGAGAACATTTACCACTCTTGCAGAGGACCTGAGTTTAAGTCCCTGTACTCATGCTGACTGGCTCACAACCACCTGTAAGGTCAGTTCCACCAGACCTTTCACCCTCATCTGGCCTCCATGGGCACCCACACACATGCACATACACATAGAGACACACACACCGCATACACATAAGTGAAAAATAAAACAAACCTTTTTTTAAAGGTGGTGCTTTGTGTGTGTACCCTGGATGAAAGACAATGCCAGACAAAACTGGTCTGGTGCACACGGCCTTCTTTGCCTCTGTCGGAAGCACCCTTGTTTGTGTCCCTTAAGCATCATTGAAAACACCACACTAGCCAGTATTGTGTGTGTATGTGTTTGGGCCCAGATGCTCTGGGTGTCTTAAATAACTTTAATTTTCTAAACCTTGCTCCTCCTCCCCCACCCCAGCCCTTTCTTTTCAGAAGACACATTTAGACAATCACCATTCACCTCCAATTCAAAAGATCTGCTGCCCAGTGAATCTCTGCTGCATGGAAGAGCATCTGCTTCAGGTAAGGATGCATTGTTGACTTCCTTCTGGGACTGTTTGCTTAAGAAGAGCTTTTCTGAAATGTGAGTTTTCAGAAGCTTGCGGCTCAGGGCTTGTAGTTATTCCTGTAAAGGGAGGTTGTGGAAAAGAGGGAGAAATGTCATTGAAATTGCTGCAGAAGTTTGCTATAATAAAATGCAGATGGTGATTATCTCTTTATATTTGTTTTAAGAGCTGATTGTCTGTTCCTTGTTGATAGGTTGTCTGTAGAGTAACTTTCTTTTTCTTTGAAATAGTGAAGTATAGGGGCTGAGGAGATGGCCGAGTCAAAGTGCTTGATGCACAAGCATGAGGACCCATGTTTGATCCCTAGCACACACATGAGCACTCATGCTGGAGAGATGTCGCAGCAGTTTAGAACACACTGTTCTTTCAGAGGACCTGGGTTCAATTCCTAGCACCCACATGGCAGCTAACAACCATACATAACTTCAGTTCCAGGGGATCCCACACCGTCTTCTGGCCTCTGCAGGGCATTGCATGCATGTGGTTCACTTATATGCATGCAGGCAAAACACTCACACACATAAAAACTAATAAATCAAATAATAAAAAACAATACTGAGCACAGCAGTGCATGCGTGGTCTCCCAGTGCCAGTGCATGGAGACAGGAGGATCCTTTGGACTTGCTGGAAGCCATTCTAGACAAATCAGCCTCGGGTTCAGTGAGAGACCCTGTGTCAAAAACTAAGGTGGGCTAGAGAGACTTGGCAGTAAGAGCACTGGCTGCTCCTGCAGAGGACCCAGGTTCCATTCTGAGCACCCACATGGTGGATAACAGCCATTCATAACTCCAGTTCCAGGGTGTCAAATGCCCTTTTCTGACCTCTGTGGGCATCGCACAACATAGGTATACCTACCTACATGCAGGCAATATACTCATACACATAAAATAAAATAATAAATTAAAAAAATTTTAAACTAAGGTGGAAAGCAGGAAAGACACCCTATGTTGACCTCTGGCCTCCACACACATGCATGTGTACACACCCAAACATGTGTGTGCACAAATAGTATGACCTGAAAATACTCGGTCTCATACGCTATGAGTGTTTCAGACAGACAGTAAACAAGTAGGAGTGGTCAGAGGTAAAAACTCGTTCCGCAGCCCCTGGCCTTGGGGAGGAATGGGCCTCCACAAAGACTACTTTGTTTCCATAAAAGCAACATAGCTCATCTGGAAAAATCTTTCCACCCAGATTCCACTTCTCAGTCACCATGCCTACTACACTCATCCAACCCTCCCTACGTCATTTCCTGCCCATTCTTCCCTCTTTACTTCTCTTTTCCAGGTAAAGGAAGGCTGTGCGTATCCTTCTTGTCAATAGCTGGCTGTCTCCTGAAACTTGTGTGTGTGCTCTCAGTGGTTATGGGGTATTTGAGAACCATTCAGTGGAGATCATACTCTCTACTTATCCCTCCCCCATCCCTCTACCAACCCTTCTGTACTAGCTGTTGACAGAATCTCAGAAGCCCTTGTGATCCCTGTCCTCATTCATCTGGGAGAGCAGAGTGGGAGACTTGAGACTCTGTGTGTGTGTGTGTGTGTGTGTGTGTGTGTGTGTGTGCGTGTGTGTGCTCGCGTGTGCGTGCGCGCACAGGAAGGCTCTGAGTTCAAGTGTGCTCCACGTCCCCAGGAGCCCCGTGTCACACGGCACTAAGAGCTGAGTAATTTACAAAGCAGAAAAGTCAAGTAGAATCTTCTGAAATGTTGGTGTGTGGGTGTCACAGGGAAGTGGTTAGTGCTACAGAGAGGGGAAGTCAGCGCTGTTGTTCTTTATCGTTGCAACGGCAGACCCCACCTTGCTGTTTCTGCACAGCGAGCCAGAGTCCAGATGGGTATCTGCATATTCTTGAGTCTTGTAGGCAGGGCCTTACTGTTCCACCCCGAGAAGAAACATGCTCACAGAAGAAGCCATGACATAATGGCTGGTTCCAGGAGTGGAAGGAAATTCTGCTTAGTTTTCTATCTTCATTCTCAAACAGGGCCTCTTGGAACTACTGTTTACTTCCCACAATGTCATTTTGAATTGCTGTCTCTCTGGTCCCCCAAATTATTGCCCTGCTGTTAAGTTGATGGATTGTGACTTTCTAATGTCAAAATAACTGCCTAGGAATTGCCTGTCAGAGTGCTGTGACCCATGCAGCCAACATCCCATGATGTATGTATAAGTCCCACATTGCTGCCGTCATGTCTGGCTTAGCAATGTTTAAAGATGGGTTTATTGGAGGGGTTTAGAGGAGCCAAACTAGTGTATGTTTAACTGTGCAAAGGGGGCTTTCTGTGGTTTCCTTGATAGGCTTATATTACACATTAGATAAACTTACATTTAAAAGTTAGTTCCTACTTTGGAGGAGACGAGGTTTGCCTAACAGGGATTTCAAAAAATTTAAATCTGCCCTTATAAAGAATGATCAATCTGTTGTACTTGAACAGAGCCTTTCTTTAGGCAGTGAAAAACCAAAATAATTCCTATGTATTTACAGTTTGCTAAAGTAAATGACTGAAAAGGGAATTTGTTTGTCGACATGGAAGGTGAAAATACTTTGGAAATCATGTCAAAATTAAAACATTTTTAAGTGAGAAGGACAGCCATCATGAAGTTCTCCTAGAGACAGTAGTATAAAGAAAGCTCCAGTGATCTGACTAATGGAGGCAGCTTCAATGGACCACAGTTTGCAGTGTGCAGACATTGAAAGAAAGTGTGCTACCTCAAGTTTGGGCTGTATTAATGGCCGTTCTACACTTGTGCCAGCTCCCTAGGCCCTTCATTCCAGGTCTGAAGAGCAAAGAAACCCGACCGTCTTCATCTTAGTTACCTTCTCATTGCTGTGAACAAATACCTGATAAGAAGCTGCTGAAGGTTTATTCTGGCTCAGAGTTCAGAAGACACAGTCCACCCTGGAGTGGAAGGCAACACGCTGGGAGCAGCTTGGTCTGTGGGACACACTAAGGAGCAGCAAAGGGAATGCCAGTGGTCAGCTCACTCATTTTCTCCTTTCTCCTTGTTTATTTAGTCCGAAACCCAAGCCTGTGAGATGTGTCTGCCCTACCTTCCAGATGGGCATCATCTCCTCAGTTAATGCCTGTTCTCCCTCAAAGACATACCTGAAAGTGTGCCTCACTCATGCCCAAGGTGGTTTATTTGTTTTGTTTTGTTTGTCTTTTTGAGACAGTGTCTCCCTGTAGCTCCAGGTGGCCTGGAACTCTCTATGTAGACCAGGCTGGCCTTGAACTCAACAGAGATCCCCCTGCCTCTGCCTCCCAAGTCCTGGGACTACAGGTGTGCGCCACCACGCCCGGTAAGGTGTTCTTTTTTTAAGTTTTATTTTGTATGTGAATGACACATGTATATGCTAGTACCATGGCACACATGTGGAAGTCAGAAAACAACTTGTAGGAGTTGGTTCTCTCTTTCTACCGTGTGGGTCCCAGGGATCAAACTCAGGTCATCAGGCTTGGTGGCAGCACCTTTACCCACTGAGCCATCTCACCACCCTTGAAGGTGTTTTTAATCCAACCAAGTTGACAGTTGGAGTTCACTAGCCTACCTACCAACCAACATTTTTTGAATAAACTACTTTGAAGTCCACTCCCATTAGGTTCCCTAAGAGGCTATTTACATATGACAAGGGGACGTTCACATATTTTCTTACAGAAACATCAGTGTCTTTGGTGATGAAGTGTTGCTCCAGTGCTGTTGTTGGATGTTGCATTAAGCAGTGTGATGCACCTGACCACCATCCTGAATCCACCATAAGTATGATGTATGACACTCAGAATATATCTGGACAGGGAAGGTCAGATAGATATTTTGGACTTCCACTTGGGCTCTGCTTAGTCTAGGGTCCAGTTGAGGATCTTCAAAATCTGGAATGAAAGTCATGGATGCTTTCATTCAGAAAGTGTGGGACAGCCATTTGAGTAGCAGATTGCTGAATCACTGGGGAATTTGGGATTAAAAAACAGGGCCTAGACAGGATTTTTCTGGTCTTATGGTGGCATTATGTCAGTGAGGGTCTGAGTGGAGACAAAAAGAGAAAGAGCCAGAAATTTGACTAGTTTGGAAGACTGATCAGCTGTGCTATAAGCAGGTTGATTTGGAGAATGCAAGTCACTGTGCAGAAGTGGAGAAGCCAGGAAGGAGATGGCTGTCCTTTCAGTCTGTCTTTTTAGTGGCTAGGCAGAAACTTGTTAGTGTATCAATAGCAACTTTAAGGTCCTTAGGAACCTTCTCTTACGCAGTTAAACGCCACCATTAAAATATTATTTCGACTCTTTATTTGCTTAGCAAACCTCTTCTTTCCACAGAAAATACAAGATAAATGTCAGTCCAGTGAATTATCTTAGGTTCCCAATTGGTGAAGACCATCATTAGTGAAGTTCAGTGTGCCTGGTGACAATCTGTGAGAGCCATGGTAACTGTGACAAACACAGCAACATTTCAATCACAGACCTTGGCATGTCCTTTTGAGCTGCTATAGCTTGGATTTGAAATGTTCCCCTAAAGGCCTCTGAGCGTAGAAGGCTTGATCCCAGCTTCATATTGATGGGGGTGGTAGAACCTTTAGCAGATGAAGCCTAATGTTAGAGCAATGGAGACATGCCCCTAAAGGAAACATTGAGACCCCAACCCCTCCTTCTCTCTGTTTCCCACCACCTTGAGGTTAAAGAGCTTTGCCACATCCCAAGCTCTCACCATGAAGTATTGTGCTGCCACAGGCTCAAAGTATCAGGGCCCAGCAAGCATGCGTGGGAACCTCTGAAACCTTGAGCCACAACAAACCTTTTGCCCTATTAAGTTGCTTTTCTCAGATTGGAAACCTAGCATGTACACTTTTATTAATGGGACGAAATCCTTTCCCAAGTGCTTTCCCAGGAAGACCACAATGCAAGGGACATGCTGGTTGAGAATAGACTTTGAATGGAAGAGCTCTGGGCCAGGGGAACCCAGGGTAGT